TCCTACCTAGCAGTGGTCGTTCACAACAAAAAATATTTAATAGAATACAAAATATGGTCGAAAAGGGACAACGGGATAGAGCCAAAGGCAAAAGAAAAACAAATCTCTAACCTTATGTACAGAATGGCCTGTCACCGCTATTAATCATTGGTCCAGCTGTAAGCGTATTGCTGGGTAGAAAGTTAACACAAAAACTCATTGTGTTTGTCGAAGTTCAAGGATATTGGACATCATTAGCTTTTTTCATAGTTGTTGTCAATTTCGATTTTTTTTATAGAGGAGAATCAATATAGCTAATTTAAAGTAAATATCGTGGGAACTTAAAGTGTCATGTACATCAGGTGTATATTTTTCACGAAAGAGTGAATAGGACATTAAACAAATTTAAAGAATATTTTAAAATAGAATATCGGAGTCGTGAATATTTTTAAGAATATGCTTCAAGGGACTATCGGAGGCATACAATTTTTAAACAATTTTTTTTAAAGCCTATATAAGGCGTAGATTTTTTAACTAATATATTTCCAAGGTCCAAAAGAGGCCTGAACTTTTTAAGAATATTTTTTTCAAGGCCTACAAGAGATGTGCGTAGTTTTTAAAGAGCATTTTTCCAAAGCCCTAAAGAAACGTGGATCTAAAGAATATTTTTCGAAGTCCTTCGAAAAAGTCCTCTTTTAGAAAATCATTTTAGAAATGTTTATAAATATTTGTGAAAGGCCTAATCGTTATGTTGCGTATACTTTATGTAAATGTTATCAAACCTATTGTGTATACGCAATGGCGTGCTGGAAATATATGCTTAGAAGACCTATATAAGGCGTGGATTTTTTAAAGAATATTTTTTTTAAGACCTATATAAGGCGTGGATTTTTTAAAGAATATTTTTTTAAGGCCTATATAAGGCGTGGATTTTTTAAAGAATATTTTTTTGAAGACCTATATAAGGCGTGGATTTTTTAAAGAATATTTTTTTTGAAGACCTATATAAGGCGTGGATTTTTTAAAGAATATTTTTTTGAAGACCTATATAAGGCGTGGATTTTTTAAAGAATATTTTTTTGAAGACCTATATAAGGCGTGGATTTTTTAAAGAATATTTTTTTGAAGACCTATATAAGGCGTGGATTTTTTAAAGAATATTTTTTTGAAGATCTAAGGACCTATATAAGGCGTGGATTTTTTAAAGAATATTTTTTTGAAGACCTAAGGACCTATATAAGGCGTGGATTTTTTAAAGAATATTTTCTATGGACCTACATAAGGCGTGAATGTTTTAAGAATATTTTCTATGGACCTACATAAGGTGTGAATGTTTTAAAGAATATTTTAAGCCCTATAAAGGGCGTGGATTTTTTTAAATAATATTTTTAAGGGCCTGTGCATTTTTAAGGACCATGATAAGTAATGGATTATTTCTAAGGACCTATAAAAGGCGTGATTTTTTTTACGATTATTTTTTAAGGACCTATAGGAGGCGTTGATTTTTTAAAGATTATTTTTGAATGACCTTGATAAGGAGTGGGGTCAGTCAGTCTCATATGCGCCCATGGTCCGACCGAAGAAAAAGATGAACAGTCCAAAGACATATTCTACGAGCGCCTAGAAACACCATATGATCGCTGCCCTCGACATAATGGGTCGAACACGGAGAGGGGTAACAGCCACCATTGAAAAAATTGAGAAGGAGTCTGCCAAAGTGGGTTTGGCAGTAAACGGCGAGAAGACCAAGCTGATGAGAACTGCAGCTTCGATGTAGCCAGAGATTTAATATACCTTGGTACGGCCATAAACAAAACGAATGACATCATTTTTGAAATTCGGAGAAGGATGATGGTGAATATCGCGTTGATGGTGAATATCGCCGTCGAATGAACCATGAGTTGCACTAGCTAATCTCGGACATGGACATTGTTAGACGTATTGAGCTGCAGCGACTACGTTGGCTAGGTCATGTTGTGAGAATGGATGAAGATGCCCCAGTCCAGAAGGCATATAAAAGCGAACCAGCTGATGGTTCACGCAGAAGGGGAAGGCCACGAATAAGATGGAAAGACCAAGTGGAAGACAACATTGCCGTATATGGTCTTTCAAATTGGAAAAACTGCACAAAAGACCGACGCGCCTGGAAATATTTTTTTATGCTCGGCTTATGGAACGAAAGTTCTGTCACAAGCCAGCTAAGTAAGTAAGTTTTTAAAGAATATATTTTTCAATGTCGCTAAGAGGCGTGGATTTTCTAAAGAATACTTTTTCAAGGCCATGAGGCATGGGTGCTTTAAAGAATATTTTTTCAAGGCCTCAATGATGTGTGGATGCTTTAAATAATATCTTTCCCAGGCCTAGAACAGGCGTGGCTGCTTTAAAGGATATTTTTCACAGGCCTCGAACAGGTGTGGATGCTTTAAAGGATATTTTTCCAAGGCCTCGAACAGGCGTGAGTGCTTTAAAGAATATTTTTCAATCCTCGAACAGGCGTGGATGCTTTAAAGAGTAGTTTTTCAAAGTCTCTATGAGGCGTGGATATTCCAAAGAGTATTTGTTCAAAGTTTCTAAGAGGCGTGGATTTTTTAAGGAATATTTTTTTCAAAGTCTCTAAGAGCCGTGGATTTTTATACCCTACACAACTATGTTGTCAGGGTATTATAGCTTTGTGTAGTCCAAAATGTTTGTAACGCCGCGAAATATTGGTCCTAGTCCCACCTTTAAATATACCGATATTCGTATCTCGACTAGCTGAGTCGATCTAAACATGTGTGTCCGTCTATCCATTATAATTTGTAAACACGATACAGGCCACAGTTATAGACCAATCTTCACGAAATTTTGCATATAATATAGGTTCTGGCCAATAAAGACCCCTATTTTTTGGAAAAGATCGGTTAATATTTAGGGGATGAAATGGACCAAAAACTTTATTTTTGTCGATTTTTCTGGTCGCTCCAGAGGTCCAATTATGGTCCAAACACCGCAAAATTTTGCATGGAGAAGGGGATCGGGCCGAAGAATAAGCATGCCTGTTTTGATAAAGATCGGTCAATATTTAGCGGGTCAAATGGACCATGACTTTTGTATGGTCATCGACATCACTATAATTTTCGGTGATGATCAGATAAAAATTTTGGGATAAAGTGGACCGAAAAATTAATTGTTTATGTTTTTTCGAGTCGATCTAAGTGTCGCAATTATAATCCGAACATCACAACACAATCCACGGTGAAGGGAATCTGGACAAGTAATTAGGAATATTTGGACAATATTGGGAATATTCGGAAAATATGTCAGTGTAAAAAAGAGGTGCTGTTGATCTCTAATCGGTCAAGAGGGAGCAACGATCACGAAATATTGCCCAGGCTCAGAATAAACATCGGCAGAAAGTTAGAATTCCGTGGTAGTTGTGTAGGGTATCGTATGGTCGGCCCCGTCCGACTATACTACTCCGCTCACTGGTTTAGGGAATATTTTTTCAATGCCTTTATGAGGCATGAATTTGTTTACGAATATTTTTTCAAGGCCTTCAAAGTCCCTACGAGGCGTAGATTTTTTCCAGACTTAAATCAGTCGTGGATACTTTTAACGACCTATAGAAACACTGGATTTTTAAAAAAATATGTTTTAAGAACCTATAAAAGACCTTTATTGGGAGTGGATTTGTTAGAGATTATTTTTTAAGGACCTATATAAGGTGTAAATTCACTAGTTTTTCGGAAAAATTTCCTTAAAATATTACATCGATTTATACAGTCGCTTTACTGTAAGTCGCTTAACTGAAAAATATCGGATAAGTGAAATTGATTTCCTGCACCATTGTATTTTAGGTTAATCGCCCACAATTTACTCCGTATAAGTTAAACTTCGCATAACTGAAAATATCGGATAACTGAAATAGCCTTTGTAGTCAAATTATGCAATTTCCTTTTAAACCACTCCGCATTACTGAAAATCATGAGTGAAAGATAATGACAGAATATTTTACATCGACAGAATATTTTACATCGAGCCTACACTAACATATATTTTTCTGTAATTAATGATTTTTCCGACGTATAGAACGTGTGTGTCAACTATATATAAATACAATTTTGAGGAGGTCCTATACTTTCAACTACTCTATTTTATTATTTAAATCCTTCAACATGATAACCAAAATTTAAATAGGAACGAATTAAAAAAGAGAATCTATCATGAAAAAATTTGGTAAGGAAGTATGTTACTCATTCACAACCCCATAATAAAAAGCAAGTCAGCTATTAAAAGACTTAAATCGGCTAGTATGAAAATTTTTCAAAGACATGGACCGATGTTTTCCATTTTTAAAATCAATCAATCTATTATAAATATTACAAGCCGCGCATTTTAATAATACGCATAAAAAAGACAGTTCATAATAAAAATGCCTTAAGCAGTAAACATGTCAACCATTTCCAATTTATATTGTCTAATTTCATAAAAGTCCAAATGTACGAATATCATATAAATTATTGAAATTCCTAAAAATGATTTTTTTTGCTTATGATAAGTTCGTATAACTGAAATTATTTTCTGTTAACCGAACTTCGCTTAAGTGAAAACATCGGATAACTGAAACAAACATCCAGATTTTTTTTCCGTTTCAGTAATCTTAAAGGATCTTAAAGGACCTATCGAATGGTTTACATTGCGTATACGTTATGTTAATGTAATAATATTCATAGCGTATACGCATTAGCGTGCAGCTGAAATATAAAGCCTATCTGATTCTCCTCTCAGTAAAATATATTCATTATTTTATAGATTTACATAATGATACATTTTTGGAAAACCTACTTTATCACATTGTGTACAATGATGGGATCTTCGATGGAATATTTGGCAACCTATTGATAACAAAGTTATTTGTAAAATGTGCGCTCATAAAATAACCGGAGATCTTAACCAAAGATTACAGTTCACAATAATATCATCAGCGAAAAATAAAAACAAATTTGAATTTGAAAATAAAGTTATTTTTGTTAGACGCTTACCTTTTGTCCATAGCCGTTATCCATTCCATAGCCATGTTGACGTTTTCGTTTCGATCCTTGCACCAACACGAAAGAATTTTTCTGAAGTTTTTGGGTTTTGGTGTTTTGTTTTTGTTTCTGTTTTTTTTTTATTATTCTTGCTCCCCTTTCTATGGGCTCGAGAGCAAATCACAAAGCATTAACACGTAGCAAAGCGATAAACGATGAAACACGCTTTTCGTTTCGTATTTTTTTATCGAATCAGACACTTTTATTGATTTTTTGCTGCTGCTGATGTTTTGTTTGCTTTATTCACTGGCAAATGATGTAAAATTTAATGAGAATTGCCGAAAACAAAGACAAAGGAATTTGATTGAGGGAGGGTGCTAAGATTCTCTTTCCGAGCAGCAAGGATAACAAACGTTCGCTGCTTTGTTTTCTGTGTTCTCGGTTTTTCACGTTTTATCCGTAAGCACGTTTCACACCTCCTATTTTTTTGGTAGGCAATTATTTTATTTTTTCTTCTTCTTCTTGGCAGATATTATGTGGTATTTTAAGAATTTCTTATAAAAGCTGTTAAGCTTCGCACTTATTAGCAAGTCAAATTTTGGCTACACATTTAATGTTTGCAGCGACTTTAAAAGGTTTTTCTATTTTGGCACAGCTGTGGCCTACACTTTAGGCCATTAGAAATTTGGCAGGCAAAAAAAAATGGAAATTACTCAAGCAGCATCGGGATAAGACAGCGTTTTTGGTTAATTCAAGGCTTAGCTGAAGATTTCCTTAGCAGCCGTTTTAGTCGATTTACACGATTTTGAAACACAAAACTTTATCTCACCAAAAAAACTAATTTAACTTCACTTGAACACAAATCCGAATAAAATTTATTTATTTATTTTTTTTGTTCTAACTGACAGTGAACATATTTTTTGTTGTTGTAGATTGGTTGGTTGGAAAAGTTGTTGCTTTGTTTGTTTGTTTTTGATTCAAAACTTTTAAATTTCCGTTGCAGCCGTTGACTTTTTTGTGTTATTCTTTGTGTGTGTGTGGTCTTTTTTGTTATTGTCTATAGGGAAGTGTCTACAGATATCTGTTTGAGTGTCCTGTTGACTGTTTATCTGTGTGTCTGTACGTGTTTGGGGGAATTGTGTGTGTGTGTGTGTGCAAGAGAGTGTTTGTGTGTGTGTGTTTTTATGTTAATATACTTTTACGGGCGTACATCTGTTGTGCCAACATCCCGTTTACTTTCCATGGAACATCATCACCATCCGACTCAGCGTCATTATCATCATCGTCTTCACGATTAGGGGGAACACAGGAAACATGTGTTTCAACCTAAAAATAAAAACGCAAAAATGAACAAAAACCAGAAGTTATAGTTAATGGTGCCTTTTTAAAGTTTTCTTTTTGGGTGGTTATATATTTAAAAATATTTTTTGGGTGGGAATTGCCAAAGGACAGGGGCTAAAAACAAGGATATGGGACCAAAAGATTTATTAGAATTAATTTTTCTAAGGTCTGGATTAAAAAAAATACATTTTTTAATGACTATAAGAGGCGTGCATTTTTTAAACAATATTGTATCAAGGCCTATGAAGCGTGGACTTTGTAAAGAATATTTTCTATGGATCTGAAGTGAAGTTTCGATTATGGTCAAGGACGAGATTTCATTCAGGTGTGCAATGAACCGAAAACTTTAGTCGCTCTAGAGGCAATTATTATATGCAGAACATCACATATTTTACAAGGTGAAGGGGATCTAACCAAATACTTAGAGCGGCTGTTTAGATGATGATCGGTCAATATTCCGAGGGTCAAATCAACCAAAACCTACATTGACCAATTTTTTATTTTATTGCGTAAAAAGTCACTTCAAGAATTTTTTTTTTAAATATGCCAGGGTTAGAAAGTGGATTTGTTGAAATATTGCCCAGACTCAGAATATGGAACCACATAAAGTTAGCTTTTCGTGGTAGTTGTGTAGGGTGTCATATGGTCGGCCCCGTTCGACTATACAGCTCCGCTCACTGGTTTAAAGTATATTTTTAAAGTCCTTTATAAGGCTTGGATTTTTTAAAGAATATTTTTAAGGTCCTTTACAAGGTGTGGATTTTCTAAGGAATATTTTAAAGGTCCTTAAAAAAGGCGTTTATTTTCTAAGGAATGTTTTTAGGGTCCTTTATAAGGCGTGGATTTTTTAAAGAATATTTTTTAGGACCTATATGTCATTTAAAAAGCGTGGATTTTCAAAGGTCCTTTATTAGGCGTGGATGTTCTGAGGAATATTTGTAAGGTCCTTTATAAGCCGTGGTTTTTCTAAGGAATATTTTAAGGACCTTTATAAGGCGTTGATTTTCTAAGGAATGTATTTAAGGTCCTTTATAAGGCGTGGATTTTTCAAAGAATATTTTTTTCAAGCCTTACTCAGGCGTGGATTTTTAAAAGAATATTTTTTTCAAGCCTTACTCAGGCGTGGATTTTTAAAAGAATATTTTTTCAGGGACCAAGACAGGCGTTGATTTTTAAAAGAATATTTTTAAGGTCCTTTATTAGGCGTGGATTTTCTAAGGAATATGTTTAAGGTTCTTTATAGGCCGTAGATTTTCTAAGAAATATTTTAAGTACCTTTATAAGGCGTCGATTTTCTAATGAATGTTTTTAAGGTCCTTTATAGGCCGTGGATTTTCTAAGGAATATTTTAAGGACCTTTTTAAGGCTTTGATTTTCTAAGGAATGTGTTTAAGATCCTTTATAAGGCATGGATTTTCTAAGGAATATTTTAAGGTCCTTTATAATTCGTTGTTTTTTTAAATAATATTTTTTCAGGGCCTATAGGAGGCGTAAATTTTTTTATAAGGAATATTTTTTCAAGGCCCATAAGAGGACTAAATTTTTTAAGGAATGTTTTTTCAAGGCCTATAAAAGGCATGGATTCTTTAAAGAATATGTTTTGGATTTTTTTTAAGAATAGTTTTTCAAGGTTTGTTTTTTAAACCCAAGCCTGTGATAGTCGTTGAAAGAAATATGTAAAATATTTTTTTTTAAATCCACGGCTGAGAAAATATGTATGTATGATATTTACGATTATGTATCTTAAATATATTACTTTAAAAATCCGCTCTGGATAACTGAAAAATCCTGTTCAAAACATATCTTCAAAGACCCACTAGGTTGTTCAAATCCACTTAAGTTGTTTAAAAATCCACCAAGGTTACCCAACAAAATTATTTTTCTACAAATAACTCCTTCACCTAATCACTGTATTGTTCTATTTAGAAAAAACTATCTCTCACCACACATTTCCACTCCATCCTTTAAAATGCTAATACACACACACACTTACATCTGCTAAAATTTCAAGAATGTGGAAATTTTTTGTTCCTGCAAATAATTAAAATGTATTTCAAACTTTTAACGGTTTATTTTAGAGATTATAAAAGTTAAATTTGCCCAAAAAACCGTAAGCCCAAATGTGCTGCTACCATCATCATCAACGACGACGAAACAAAAGTAATTTTCGTGTAAAATTAACAAATCAATGAAGTGTTAAGTTGGAAAAATCCACAAAACACGGAGGATATAAATTTTGAAGCGGAGCAAAAGGATGGGACCTGGCATAGCGGCATTCTTATCTCGTTAAGAGCTTGTCATTAAGAGGATAAGACGAAATTCCTTGTTGAAGTTAATCTGTGAGGTGGCTTCACGGGTAAGGGATAATTTATTTCTCCACCCAAAAAAAATGAAATAAATAAAAAAATGTCCTTTGAACTTTGCTGTATTGGAAAATTGCAAATCTGTATTTTTGTTCCTTCTTTTGACAAATTACAATTCGAATTATAATTTTTGCAGCCATTGATTTGGAAAATTAGAAAATATTCGACTTTCATTGTTTAAACAACATTTTGTGTGCGTGCATGTGTTTGACATTTAAATACAATTGTAATTTAACTGTGGTCATACACAGATTATTAAGCAATGACGATTTGTGGCTTCGAGGGAAATTTCGAAATTTAATAATTGGGGCACTTAAATATTAGAATTAAAGAGAATAAAAAAATTGAGAGCATTCAATGGAGGACAAAGGACTAGCACAAGCGTCAGCGTGAATTTTTTCCAAGGACTACATAAAGCATGGATTTTTTTTAAAAAGTACTTTAGAAAGGGGAGATTTTTTAAAAAATATTTTTTCTAGGCATTGGGAAGTCATAGTAGTAGTGATTTGCACTTTTTATACCCTACACAAGTATGTTGTCAGGGTATTATAGCTTTGTGCAGCCCCAAGAGTTTGTAACCCCGCGAAATACTGGTCCTAGACCCACCTTTAAGTATACCGATCGTCATATCTCGACTAGCTGAGTCAACATGTGTGTCCGTCCGTCCTTCCGTCCGTCCATTATAATTTGTAAACACAATGCAGGCCACAGTTATGGACCAATCTTCACGAAATTTTGCATGTAGGATGGGTTCTGGCCAATGAAGACCCCTATTGTTTTTGGTAAAGATCGGTTAATATTTAGGGGATGAAATGGACCAAATACCTAATTTTTGTCGGTTTTTCTGGTCGCTCCAGAGGCCGCAATTATGACTCAAACATCGCGAATTTTTACATGGAGGGGCCAAAATTAAGCATGCCTGCTTTGATAATGATCGGTCAATATTTAGCGGGTAAAATGGATCCTGACTTTTGTATGGAAAATTAGAAAATGTATATTCTATTGCGGATATATTTGCTCCTGAAGGACATAGACCCGAGGAGTTGATGTAGGGTATCATATGGTCGGCCCCGTCCGACTATACTGCTCCGCTCACTGGTTTATAATTTGTAAACACGATACAGGCCACAGTTATGGATCAATCTTAGCCCCTATTATTTTCGCTAAAGGTCGGTTAATATTTAGGAGATGAAATGAACCAAATACTTAATTTTTGTCGATGTTTCTGGTCGCTCCTAAGGCAATTATGGCCCAAACATCGCGATTTTTAACATGGAGGCGAGGGGACTGTGATAAAGAATAACCATGACTGTTTTGATAAAGATCGGTCAATATTTAGCGGGTCAAATGGACTCCGACTTTTGTGTGAAAAATGACAAAATTTGTATTCTAT